TTTGTCGCGATGAGCTGCGTGCTTGAGCCAAGAATTGGCATGGTGCGCAAAAGCTTAGCTTTAGGTGATGTATTTCAACAAGATCCTTTCTGAGAATGCAGAATTCAAACACTATTTCATGACTAGGTGCCCAAACCCGGCAAAATCACATGCAAAAAAAGGCATCTTGATTGTTCTTGGTATGTTTTAGGTCGCTAAATACTATTAGCTGTGTATGTGGATTTTGCAGGTCTTCAGGGGTCAAATGAATTTCGCAGGTGGGTATGCTCAGTAGCACCTGTGCATCAATGCTGATCAACATTGCCCGAGCCTGACTAGATTCAAATTTTTCAGAAGCACTGACACCCCGGAGGAAACCTCAAGCTGGAATGTTTCTCAAAATATTGCGCGCCTTGTGTTTTTTCTGGTTGTGCGGGACGGTGTAGTGTGAATGATAAGGTCAATTAAGTTTGAGGGTATCACACTGAGGCCCGTCGATGACAAAATTTTAGGGGCTTCCCCCAAATGTGAGCGTTACACTCCCGAAAACTGACATGGGCCCTGAGAATGGCACCTTGAAAGACTGTCTTGCTCTACAAACGAATGGATTTCAGATGTTTTCAGAGTCCATGCTAGTTTTCAGCGGGTAATCGCTTCCCACGTGTTGACGCATGCTGACACATCGCAAACCTTGTGTTGACGACATGAGACGACATGGCTGTCACACTTCTGGCCGAGTTTCACTCGACCACGGCTCCGGGAAGGTGAGCCTGAGCGGAGTGGGACACACACTGACAGGAATGGGGTTGAAGCTGAGACTGACAAATCCTCACCATGGAAGGGCGACAAGGCTCAGCCCTTTCTGCGCATTGACCGGGTGGTTTTGCATCACTGTGAGACGCAGGGAGATACTCAGCATGTAACATGGGCTTACATAGGGCGAATGTGCAAGTATAGTCACTCATATAACACAATTAGGTATCCCTCCTCTGCTTTGCAGCCAACATCCTCATCACAGCAAAAACTACAGTAAATTTGTCAACGTACGCTGTCGAGCCGAGAAACTCTGGAAACCTCGAGGTGGCCTCCTTCGCCTCCCAGGATTCGCAAGGCCCGAAGTCCTGCTTCAATTTTCAATCATCCAGCCAACAAGCTTCCCATTCGGAAGAACACATGCAATAAAACACTAGCCCAATGACGTCTTTGGACATATTCAACCAACTCACGATGGTACAACCAAACAAACCTAAGGTACTGTGACCAAAACCTCCGGGTGATTTGCAGGGATATGTGGATAACGGCGTGCCTTTTCTTCAATCCGACGTTGCATGCGCAGCAATGAGCAATGGCAAGGAATCCAAACACATTTTTTGGTGTCTGCAACCGCATCCATGTCAGTCCTGGGCAAGGAGGACTGCCCTGCGAAAGACTTCCGCCAGCTGGCCTACAGAGGCAACCGGAGCAAAAACACGTTGCAAAAGAGTTTCTGACGTGGGAAACGCACCGTGCACGTCATACTGCAAATTATGAACGATAAAAGTCCTCTGCCCCTTTCCTGGAAAACTATGGAAAACTTTCACCGCTGTTCACAACAAAGAAACTAGCGCCAACCCTGTGAAACTGGCCAACGGAGATAGGAAACATATAGCGCAACCAAAGATTTGGAAAGGCGATGTCGCTGCGTCGCGCGGTTTTGCGTGGAAAGCGCATTTGCGTGGCTCTGTGCAACTGGGGAAGGGTGTAGATGCATGTGTAAATGGCATGATTGGTGGTGTCTCTCGTGGGTGGGCACCTAATAAAAGCAACTCTAAATTGAGCTATGACTGTACTGTAATTTTATAGCAGTTTTATAAAAGGGCGGTAATTTAAACGAAAAAATAGACAATATTCAGTTTGGTATGTTTTCAAAAGGTGCTGGAGAATACAGTATCTGGCCAGCGACACACCGTGTGGTGAAGTTACAGCCGTGATGTCGCTGCGCCATGCCAGTGGAAAGTATTTTGCTTGGCTCTGTGCCATTGGGGAAAGGGAAGCGCATGAGTGCGTAATGATGGGCTGTGTCCACGAGGCTTTGTGTTACATTGTTGTGTTTAGTCAAGCGGCGCACCGTGTGGCGAAATTGTCACTCTGCCACGCAGCTTTTCGCGGCCTCGGCAGAAAGTGTGTTTGCCTGGCTCCGTTCCGTTGGGAAATGAAACGCATGCGCGTGTTAACGTGGCGTGTCGCTTAGGAGCGTCATGATTGGCGGTGTCAACGAGGCTGGTGTTACATTGTATGTATCTAATCAGTGGTGCGCCGTAGTATGGCAAAATTAGGTCGACGACGACGCCGTCCCATGCGATTTTGCGTGGCCTGTGTGGCAAGTGCGTCTGCGTAGCTCTGCGGGGAACGGGAAACATTACAAGAGTGCCCCACAAGAATGCCTTACAAGAGAGTCCCAAAAGAGCGCCCTACAGTGTCCGGAAAGAGCGTCCTCACAACTGCTTGCCGCTGTTGCCCTGGCGGCCCATTTGGTCTTTCAAGTTTTTCGTTTTGCTGGTGGTATGAGCTGAAAAAATTGTCTGTGGACTGGGGGCTGAGCGTGGCTGATTATAATTGACCACGCTCTGACCCAGTCACATGGAAGGTATGATGGCCGGACTAGACCTGTACCCGCCGATCGCTTTTGCCCAAGCATGTTGAACCCGAGCAATTCTATTTTGGGAGTGGGGGCTGAACGCGATTGAATAGCTTATGAGTTGTTTACATGGAAGTGGAGAATGGGCCTTGGGAATAGATTGGTGTCCACATCCATGTTCGTGAGTCTAGGTGTGTGTGGAGTTACAAAAACTTCAAATTCAGAAGGATGGAACGACAGAATTGAATCTGGAGCATGATTTGATTGAGTTTGGGCAAGGACGTGTAGTTTGAACTTAAAAGGTTTTAATACCTCCATGTCTGCGTCGCAAAACTTTGATATAGGCGTGTTCTTGCTGCAGGATGGGCCAAGCTGGGCCCCATGACACCCCAGTTAAGCCCCGGGCGTCAATTTAATGGCGGAGCCTGGCTAGGCCTTTGACCTGTTAAGCGCTCCGCAGTTAGATCAACTTTCACTATCAGGCAGCTCGGCGCAGCATTTTGAACTCAATCAGGAACGCTTGCGCTTTTTGGACGTTCCTGGTGGCAAACACGTCGGGGGAACACTTCAAAAAATGACTTCGCACACATGCTTCGGCCAAGCAGTCGGCGGGTGTTTGACACAGGTCATCACTCACAAAATGAAAACGTGAAAACCCAAAGGGCAACCAGGGCAGCCACTCTAAAGCAGCAAGACTGTCCTACAAGTGTCCAGCAAGAGTGTCTTACAAAGCGTGTCGCCCAAGAGCGTCCTACAAGTGTGTCTTACAACATTATCCCGCAAGGGTGCCTGCAAGATCGCTGTAAGAGTGTCCCTGTAAGAGTGCTGTGCTGCAACAGCGCAGAACTCATTCCCTTGACTTGCAAACCCCTTGACTCGAACGATCCGATTAAGGCGAACGCCCTGGCGTCCGTGGGTCGCCGCCGTCTGCTGGTGTGATTTGCGTGGCAGGCGCAGCACTTCGTGCTCTCCAAGGGGTCGGACGTACGCCCCGGCGTCCGTGGTCGCCGCCCCTCGGCCTGTGTGATTTGCGTGGCAGGCGCAGCACTTGGCGAGGGTTGCCACCCACCAATTGTCACCAACCAATTGCTACCAACCAACTGTCAATTGTCACCAACCAATTGTCACCAACCAATTGTCATCAACCAATTGTCACCAACCAATTGCCACCAACCAATTGTGGCCAAGCAATTGCCACCAACCATTTGCCACCCACCAATTGCCACCCACCAATTGTCACCAACCAATTGTCACCAACCAGTTGCTATTATACCCACCAAGTGTCACCAACCAGCTGCCACCAACCAATTGCACCAACCAATTGCCACCCACCAAGTCTCACCAACCATTTGTCATCAACCATATGTCATCAACCAACCAATTGTCACCAACCAATTGTCATCAACCATTTGTCATCAAACAGTTGCCACCCACCAATTGTCACCAACCAATTGTCACCAACCAAATATCAACAACCAATTGCTACCAACCAATTGTCACTAACCAATTGCCACCAACCAAATTGCCACCAACCAATTGTCACCAACCATTTGCCACCAACCAACTGCCACCAACCAATTGCCACCCACCAACTAACCACCAATTGTCCGCTCCTGTGTCTGGTGAAGTTGCTAACATGTGGGGTTATCCGGTCCTATAAATTTCCGATTCTTCTCGTGCGTGGCTGGAAATGCAGATTTCCTGGGAGCAGCGTTGTGTGAACCTTGGAGTGCACTTTGGGAAGCGCGGAGGTCTTAACATCTAGGTCTTCTGTCAGATGGTAAAAGTCTGATAGCCCTTAGTGTCCAACCTTGGGCGGGTCACAGAAGATGTACAACGTTGGAACGCCCCGCCTTCCTTTTTAACTTTAAGATACTTTAAGTTTACCTTGGCCGCGCTTTGTAAACTTCCCTGATCTAAGCGTTCAAGATCCATTCAAGTCTTTTGTGATGGCCAAAGCCTGGTGGCCCTTAGCATGGGTTGCGGTTGTCTGATGCGTAAAAGCTGGTAGGGTATCTGTGTTCAGTTGTTGCTTACTCCGCTGGTGGCAGGCTCAGCACTCTGCGAATTTCAAGCCAAATAAATATGTTGGGCGAAGGGTTTTGTAATCGCAGCACTTTGGTAGAGCAAAAAACACCTTCGGCCCTGCTGTGAACAAACAAGAGACAGGTGCATCGCCAGTGGCGCAGAACACCAAGACCAAGAGTAGGTAAAGCGTACAGAAAAGCGAGCAAAAATTCACGACGACTGCCTGACTCAAGCAAAAAGCAACTAATCAAAAGCGACAACAACAAAGATCCTAGAAACAACGTTACGAAAGAGACTCACTACGCTACAAAAAGACGAGAAGAAGGGAACAAACGGCCAACCAAGAGAAACAGCACGCAGGACAAAAAGCAGCGAAAGCCAGGAAAGAAAGAGGGTTCACAAAGAAGCAATGAAAAGTAAAGTGAGAAGCAGGAAAAAGCAAGACAATCGCGGAAAAACGAGAAAGCGTTGGAAAAAACGCAAAGAACATCCAAAATTCAAGATGCATCCTTTTTAAAGGGGGTAGGCCACTAGCAGGCTTATAAGTAGAGTGAGCCACCAACCGATTGCCACCAACAAGCTGTCACCAACCAATTGTCACCAACCAATTGCCACCCACCAAGCCTCACCAACCAAATTGCGATCAACCCTATGTCATCAACCAATTGCCACCCACCAATTGTCACCCACCAATTGCCACCCACCAAATTGCTACCAACCAATTGCTACCAACTAATTGTCACCAACTAATTGTCACCAAACAACTGCCACCAACCAATTGTCACCAACCAATTGTCATCAACCAATTGCCACCCACCAATTGTCACCAACTAATTGCCACCAACTAACTGTCACCAAGCAATTGCCACCAGCCAATTGCCACCCACCAATTGCCACCAACCAATTGTCACCGACAGAGTGCCACCAACCGATTGCACCAACCAATTGGCACCCACCAACTAACCACCAATTGTCCGCTCCTGTGTCTGGTGAAGTTGTTAACATGTGGGGTTATCCGGTCCTATGAATTTCCGATTTTTCTCGTGTGTAGCTGGAAGCGCAGATTTCCTGGGTTGTGTGAACCTCGGAGTGCACTTTGGGAAGCGCGGAGATCCTGTCAGATGGTTACAGTCTGATAGCCCTTAGTGTCCAGCCTTGGGCGGGTCACAGAAGATGTACAACGTTTGAACGGCCCGCCTTCCTTTTTTAACTTTAAGATACTTTTAAGTTTATCTTGGCAGCGCTTTGTAAACTTCCCTGGTCTAAGCGTTCACGATGCATTCAAGTCTTTTGTGAGATGGCCAAAGCCTGGTGGCCCTTAGCATGGGTTGCGGTTGTCTGATGCGTAAAAGCTGGTGAAAGATTCTAAAAGGGTATCTGTGTTCAGTTGTTGCTTGCTTGTCTTCTCCGCTGGTGGCAGGCTCAGCACTCTGCGAATTTCAAGCTAAATAAATATGTTGGGCGAAGGGTTTTGTAATCGCAGCACTTTGGTAGAGCAAAAAACACCTTCGGCCCCGCGATGAACAAACATGAGACAGGTGCATCAACAGTGGCGCAGAACACCAAGACCAAGAGTAGGTAAAGCATACAGAAAAGCGAGCAAAAATTCACGACGACTGCCTCACTCAAGTGCTGAAAAGCAACTATGGCAAGCAAAAGCGACAGCAACAAAGATCCTAGAAAAAACGTTGCGAAAGAGACTCACTAGGCTACAAAAAAAGGAGAAGAGGGGAACAAACGGCCAACCAAGAGAAACAGCACGCAGGACAAAAAGCAGCGAAAGCCAGGAAAGAAAGAGG